GTGTATCTGTGCCGAGCGCGCACACGTGTGTGTGCATAGGGACACTGTGTGCGGGCCGCACTCCGCCTCAAGACACTTTGATGGCGAGCGGGGCAGCAGCTGGCTAGAGGCTCTCCCGGCTCCTCCGTGCCTCCACCTCAGTCTTCCGCTGCTGTGCTCTCCCCCCGCTTTGCCCCCCGGGAGCCTCATGCTGTCTCCCTTGCACTCCCCCTGCTCCCCCTCTGCAGCCATCCGCCATGGACCCATAACTGCTCCTCCGGGGTTGTGCCGTCCGTGTGGTGGAGGTGACAGCCCCCTGTGGTGGGGGTGCCCAGGCGCTCCAGGGCCTGGTGTGACCCAGCTGCCGCCCTGGAAGAGCTCAGGGTGTGAGGAACCGGGATAGGCTGATAACCAAGTAACCCCACGCAGAATCGCCTCCACCTGGGGGGCCCCTGGCACCGCGGTGCTGGACTCTGATTTTCATTCGTTTTCAACAACAGCTGAGCCCATTGCTAAGGGTGTGGGGGGGTTCAGAAGGCGAAAGCCCCTTCTCCACATGAGCTGCCATGTTAAATCCTGGCTTGTGCAGGACGCTTGGGCCTTTTGCATGCGATGTGGCTTTGCCAGCAGAACTGTGAGGGCCTCAGTGCAGCACCGGAGCCCGCTGGCAGCGTCACACCCCACTGAGCTGAGCAGAGCTTCTCTAGCCTCTGGCCAAATACAGACATCTCCTGTCAGCCCAGGTCCCGTTAGCAGCTGGTACCCTCTCAAAGTACACTTGCAGATGTACGTGGTCTTGGTGGCAGGGTGCTGGGCAGAGCTGCTGGCCATTGTGCTTCTGAAGGTAGATGGGGCTGCAGAGAAAGCTGAGAGAGGGCCCTGTGTTCTCCCACATGGCCACAGAGTCCTTGGTTTCCTGCTTTTGGAACAAGAATGGGGGCAAAGTGATTTAGGTGGGATCTGTGCACCACGGGGCCTGCTGAGGATCTGGTGCGTTTGCTTCAGCCAGATGAAAACTAAGAACCTAGGAATTGTTAGACTGTGTCCAACCAAAGACCTGTGTAACCCAGGCCTCTGCCTCTAATGGTGGCAAGCAGCAGATATGTGAGAGCATCCCAATTTGTCAGGGATGTCCTGATGTTAGTACAATACCACGGGGATCAAGTGCAGAGAGGTGTGGGGCTGACAGGCTGGATGATGGAGCCTTCCCCATCATCATGCTTCATTCGGATCGCTCTTATAGATCCTTTTCATTTGCAAAGCCCAGGAATGCTGAGTCAATAAAAGCCGCTACCGTAGCAGTAGGACAAGCTCCAGGCTTGCACCATCCACTGGGTTTTCAGTGCATCTCACTATGCTTGTTTAGATTTGCAGATTCCTCCGGGTTGGGCTTGTGTGTTCTACAGAGCCCAGCACACCGCAATTGCCAAACAAATGATAATGAAAATCTTCTCAGGATTTCCAGCTACCTGGAAATGCCAGCTCTCCTCTGCCCAGCATCCAAACACAAGTACCTAAATGGGACCATGATGCTGGCTGTATGACTGCAGAACCCTCATGCCTCTGCTGCTGGCCAGGGAGAGGTGCTGGGCGTGACTTGAAAACAGTATTTCTATGTAAGAAAAATGATATTTACACTTGTCTTGGGCAGCCTTTGTTTCCCCTTTAGGCTTCCCAGCCTGCTTGACAAGGGCTTTTCAGTGTGCCAAAGCCAGAAGCCAAACTGAAAAAAAGAATTAGGTATCAGTCCTCGTCAAGGCTCTGTCCAGAAAAAAGTCCCTGTCTACACCTCGCAGAACTATGTTCCATCCATTCTGCAACTCAGGCAGGCATCTCAGCATTGGTTTGCCCTCAGTGCACATTTTCAAGGTCTATTTTGAAGACATAACAGCTAAAGAGTTACTCGTTCTTTCACGTGAAAGCTGAGAATCCAGATAAGACGGCGGCTTGGAAGCAGTGTCAGCTCGCTATAATACTGCATACCAGCCCCATCCAAGTCTTTGTCAGAACAGGGAAGAGTCTGAGACTCTTCAAGGCTCATACTCTTCAAGGATCATACATTTCTCATTGCTTTTTCATATAATCGCATTTATATTGGCAGCTTAATTTGTAACCTGGGGCCTCTGTTTGTCTGGTCTCCCAGTATTATATCTGTGCACAGACATTTGGGTTACAACAACAAACACATTAAAATCAGTGGATGCATTTGTGCTGGTTGGTATATGGATCAGTTCAAAGGCTTCTATCCCCCAGGGATCCTAATGCCAGGCCACTTGGAAACTGCTTGACTTGGCACATTCAGATGCCTTGTGTATGTAAGAGGGTTAGAGAGTGGCTTGCAAGCTTGGGCCACTGATAATGTGCTGTAAATGTCTTGTTTGATTTCCAAACACTGAAATCTCAGCCATGTAGAAAGCATCTGAAGATGCTGTCAGGCAGAGCCAGACAGGGCTGTTATCTTTCCATCATCAGAAATTGTCCCAAAACAGATAGAAACAAACTCTGCTTTCAGCCACCTGGTGTAAATTCCCTGGCTCAGCATGGACCTTTATGCTCTGTGCTTAACCCAGAGGGTCTAGGAACAGGTGCAGTTATGGTAGATAGAAGGTAAAGGGGCACCTGAAGGCAGCAGGGACCAGGTACCTGCCAGCAAAACAATGGGCACCATGCTCCAGGGCATTAATGCCAGGATTCAGACATCTATGGTTGTCCTCAGAGACAGGCTGTCCTCTGCTGTGGTGACTCACCCCCAGGTCTTCAAAAAGTATTTCTAGTCCTACCTCTCCTCCCCCCCAACTAACACAAACATGGGATTCCCCAGGGTCTTTGCACGAGGGTGTTCACACAGGCCAGCGGAGGGGAGTGAGAGGCCCTCACCGAGCTGGAATTCCTCAGTCCTGAGTTGCATCTGGCCACTCTCTGGGCTCCTCTTCCCAGGCGGGTGCGCCAGGCGCTGGAATGTGGCTCTAGCAGACACACATTCTTGTCAGTGCCAGACTGGGGCAGAGCCTGCTTCCTCCCCCACTAATCTGTTACATCTCAGCCCTTCCCCGGGTAGAGGGACAACCCAGGAACAGCCCGCCCCAGTCTGAGTCCCTGCCCTCACAAGGACATGCAGGTGGCGATGAATCATTTGTCAGCAGGTGTTAAATTTCATCTGCACTTTCCAGGCATATCCCAGCTGAGCTCAGATGGTGACAATGCTTCCCTTTCTGGTCTGGCAAACTCACAGCCAGATGATGGAGAAATAATGAAGAGCATAAAAAGTCCCAATACAGGCAGGGTAGGCAGGTATCTTTTGGCTTTGCCCCATGTTGTGCTGCACATCATGGCTATTTAAGGGACTGCTTCAGCAGCACTCAATCCCCATGGCCCATTCAGGCATTAACATTGCTGCCTGATTCCTGCTGTGAACACCTACATGCAGGGACCCAGGCTGACACCCACCAGCTTCCCCAGGGAGGAATCCTGGGGTGGGGAGAAACCATGAAGGAGGCAGAGGGAATTGCTTTCCTGCAGGATGACTAGTGCAACCAAGGCCATATTGCTCCTAGGTCAGCTGCCCTGAGCACTGAACTCCCATAAAGAAGATTCACTTAAAACAAGGAATCCTCTTATCCCAAAGACTTCAGCCGGGGCCTTTGAGGGCTGCATGTTAGACACAGAGTTAATGCCCTGGCATCCAACTGTGAAAAAGGTCTGTTTTCCTCACAAGAAGCAAGGCATGTGCTTACACTGTGCTGGCTGTGCTTGGGAGTGGTGCCATGAAAGCAAGCCCCATCCACTCCCACTCTGTGTTCCACAAATGCCGAAAACATGTCATGTCACTGCTCTAGGGGGCAGAGAGCAGTGCCGGGTGTTCATCAAGGAGTATCCATGGAATGTTTTGTGCCCAAGGCGTGGGGGTGGATGGAGGTGGCCTGCTTTCACAGCAACACCCCCTCCATCAGTCTGATGTGGTGTGGACAGGCCCTTAATGCCTTGGTTGGGGAGGGGGCATCCTTTTACCTGCCCTCTGCTGAGAATAGTCCAGTGACTGGTTTGAAGCAGCAGCTATTTCTTCACAGTCTTGGGCAGAGTTTACATTCCAGGGATGAGAATCCCATCCTACAGCCTCTGTGCAATGGAGACGTCAGCAGAGGAACAATATTTAGAACCAGATAATCTGTGACCCACAAAAACCTCCTGCTAATGGGAGAAAAATCCAGCTGGCTCAGGGCTGCAGCCGCTCACTCTTCCTCCTGTTCTCTCACTTTCCCCTGGGATTTGCCTTCTTTTCCCAGGCTGCAGGGGAAACTGAGATGTCGTATCTCGCAGGCTGGCTGGCACAAGACACACAGAAATGGTGCTGTCCACTTCTGGGATGTACAAAACTCAGGAAAAGAACTAGGGATACAAAGGAAACAAAGTAATTTTGCTGAGTGCAAACTGGTTCCTGTAGAGCAAAACCCATCTAGTGTCCGGAGAATGCTGTCACAGCATCTGGTGAGAGATGTAGCTGGATAAGCAGACAGCTTTTCCTCCCACCCCTACCCAGCTTCAGTCTGCTGTGGTGAAACTGAGCCTGATCTTTCCCTTGGATAACTCCCATTCCAGAGGCATTCTCCAGAGCCAGGAGCAGACTCCGTAGAGACAAAGCACGTCAGATCAGCTGCAAAGGGGAGCAGGAAGACACCAGAAGAAACATACTGGCCAGGTAGAAGGGAGGAGAGTGATGAGGCCTCCTTTCAGTGGCAGGTCTCCAGGAGTTCAAACTCCAACACTTGGCCTTTTCTATTTGGGAGCAAACCTCTATTAGGAACAGAAATAGCAGCAAACTCAAGATTTACTTAGGGTGAGCATATTTCCCTGGTTTCAAATGGGGACACTCCACTCTCTAGTGCATTCACCTGTCTCTGAGCACCAGTCTCAGCTGAGAGCACCAAAGAATAGGCTTGAATAGCTGAGAGCAGCCACAAGAGAAGGCTGAGGGGGGACCTGGTGACCGTCTATAAACTCACTAGGGGGGGACCAGAAGGGTTTGGGGGAGACGCTGTTTCCCCTAGCGCCCGCTGGCATAACAAGGAGTAATGGGCACAAGTTGATGGAGAGGAGGTATAGATTGGACATCCGCAAAAACTACTTCACAGTTAGGGCGGCTAGGAGCTGGAACCAACTTCCAAGGGAAGTGGTGCTGGCCCCTACCCTGGGGGTCTTTAAGAAGAGGCTGGATGCCTACCTGGCTGGACTCATTTGAGTCCCGTTTTTTGTTTTGGGGTTTTGTTGTTCTCCCGCCCTGGCGGGGGGTCAGGCTAGAAGATCTACCAGGTCCCTTCCAACCCTAAATCTATGAAATCTATGAAATAAAGGGAAGTAGAACCATCCTGTTTTTGCTGGGACATTCCCCTGTCAAGATCATGCCCTGGGTGTCCCACTGAAATCAGGACAAAAGCAGCCATTTGACCAAATCAACAGGACACCCGGAACAGGTGTTTAAAACAGGACTGTCTCAGCAATGATGGGGAAGGTGACCATCCTGCATTTACTCTGCTTGGGTTCACTGTAACACTCCAGGTCTCAGGCACTTGATACAGAGTGTTTTTTATAGGCATAGAAATACAAGCCTCTTTCTGCTGGCTAAATTCCCATTCTGGTAAATCCAGTCTGTGCCTTGAAAGGCCCATGCATTTTTTACTTTTCTGTAAGATTTTTTTCTTAAGAGCAAGATCCTCTCATGTGCACCTTTCCCTCACAGCCCCCACATAAAAGCTTGCCCATAATCTTGTATGAAAATATATATTTGTTCCAACCTGCCTTCTGAGGTGAATATTACCATGACTACTTCTCCAGCC